GGAAGACCACAGACCCTGAACTAGACGGCACCGCGGGGCCCAAGGGCTTTTGTCTACCAACGAGGAACAGAGGCCTCAGGAGGGGAGCTCATGGGGCACGACCACCGCTCCTCGGCGACATGCTCGACGCAGGGACAACTCGGGGCGCCACCGGCCTGAGCTGTCACCACGCCCTTAACCCGGTGAAGTGCGAGCCCCGAAGGGCCGTATTTACATGAAGCTCAACTGAGCTGGCTGCAGGGCGACCGCCTGCTGGCTAAGAAGCCACCCAAAGGCCCAGGCGCCCCCACAGAGCCTACCGGGCCTGCTCTGAGGAACCCGCTGAGGAAACTTAACTGCCTGTGCTTGACCTCAAGGACAAGCAGATGTCTCTTGCTGAAGTTGGACCGTGCAGCTCGCCTGGAGGCCCCGTCACTCTGGCTGCAGATCTGAGCTCTGAGTCTGACACAGATGTAGCCCAAATACCAACACAGGGTGGGGCTTCAAATGAAGGGTGTCCCCAGTTTCTCCCAAGCTGGTCTTCCCAGGGACGCTGCCCTTGTGTCAGCCCCTTGAGCCGCGCTAGATGACTGGCCCTCCCTTCCGGGGGCCGAGCTCCATCAGGACGGGCCTGCTAAGTGGCAGAAGCCCACTCGGCACTCATGAGAAAACAGGCAGAGGGAACATCTCATTCTGTTTAAAATCTCACCTGGTCTTCGGTGAAATGTGTTTCATAACCAGGCCATCGAGGTGCTCCATTCAGCAGTTCTCACGGGGAAGGTCAGCACATCCCAGCTCATCTAAGTGGCTCTGCTCGACTCTGAGCTGTGGGGGCCGATGAAGCCGTGTGCCCTGGGCCTTTCCTTATCGAAGAAACATTCTTCACTTCGAGACTGATATGAAATAGTAATCTTAGTGTTTACAACCATTATCAATTGCTGAGCTGGACCAGCAAGAAACTTCCCCCGTAGGTGCTACGCTCTCCTTTGAGATGGACCAATGCACACATTTCTCAGGTGGGAAGCGTCTCTTTCAGAGTCATTATCGAGTTGCCCTGCTTCTTCAAGCCTCAGATTTGGGGACAGCAGCTGCTCTGACATTAGGAGGGGAAACACGCAGCTAGATGTGCCTCCAGGGGAGGAAGGGGACCTGAGTAAGGTCTCACAGGCACTTCCAGGAGCCGGCCTGCACCGCTTACGGGTCTAACACAAACACCACGTTAGCAACCGTGAGCTGTCAGAATTACTCAAGGCCTCAGAGCAAAAAGTGCACCATGTGGGGCTTCCCTGGTGGCGCAGTGGTTGAGAGGCTGCCTGCCGATGCGGGCAATGTGGGTTCGTGCCCCAGTCTGGGAGGATCCCACGTGCCGCGGAGCGGCTGGGCCCGTGGGCTGTGGCCGCTGGGCCTGCGCGTCTGGAGGCTGTGCTCTGCGATGGGAGAGGCCACGGCAGTGAGAGGCCCGCATACCGCAGAAACAAAAAGTGCACCATGTATTTCTATGCTGAGACCTGTTTCTCTTAGCATGGAACACAGGCATGCATGTACATGTATGCACAAGGAGACGTCTAGGGATTGTAATATTTACTCAGAAATGCAAGCATTAAAATCACCCTGCAAGTAATAACATCACTTTTTTAATTGAAGTTCAGGACAAAAGGCGGCCACATTCAGAGACTGACAGGCCTCATCCAGATGGTCAGAACCATCTTTCCCTTCTTCATTAACCATCTCTGAATTTCAAGTGATTTTTCCACAGGTTCTCCGGAACCATCTAAAACTGTCCTTTGAGGCAAATCCATCACACCACGGCATGGCAAAGCCTGAGCAAACGCACCGCCGGACACACCTCACTGGATATCATCGTCATCAAAGAGATCTTCAAAATCTACAAAATGAACAAAATCACACATTGATGGGGCACACGAGGTCTACAGCTGAGGAAAAACTATAAAATGAGGTATATGGTCATTCAAAACTAGAGAGAAAACAGTGAACGATCTGATAAAGAACTTTTCCCAGGACAGGCTCTCAATTTTATCCAACTGGGGCTCATACAGTCCAAAGGGACAGTAGTCCAAAGTGCACCTTTACTCGTTTCTATTTAGATGACAATCTTAAGAAAATGCACGAGGGCATGTTCCGGACCACGTGGGCGACCCGTCACAGCCGTGATTGCGTGCCCGTGAGTACGGCCAGGGCTCTGCTCTCGCCAACGCTGCGTGGAGGGCATGGGAGGTGGGCTGAAGCTGCCTGCGGCTCGCAGCCGTGAGCAGGAAACTGCAGAGCTGGGGGGAGAAAGGTGGTGGAGGGACAGAGCCCTGTGAGAACGCCTCCCTTCAAGAGAGTCTGACCTGTTGAGAAACACAGCCTGAGCCCCATTCCCACAAGAAGAAACGCCAGAAATTCACAGCGCACTGCATCCTGTGAGGGGGTCAAAGCCAAACTCATGGTTATTTGTCCTTCTGCTTACTTCTTTGTATATTTTCTACATCCCCACCACAGGTTATGTGTTATTTCACAAGAAGAGAAAAAGCCACTCATGTGTACCGTGCACTGAGAATGTGCAGAGTAAACGAAGAACCAGAAGGAGGACGGGTTGGTCCCCATACCCCTGCTCCCCGGGGAAAGGCAGCACCCAGGCACCTCCTGCCCCACCCCGCCCCGCCCCCCCGGACGGCCCCACCGGCGCCCGCCTCTGCCACCGCCTGGCCTGGCCTGTGGCCCCGCAGCTCCGCCACTCTCCCCCTGCACCCACCTGTCTGAGCTCCCACCCCTAGCTGTCCCGGCTCACCCCGTCTAGCACTCCCATTCTGTAAAACACTGAGTGAGCAGAGCGAACCTCGCTCAGGGTTTGAACTCCACTGCCTAGGGGACAACAGGCCATCAAAACCTATCTGTTCAATCACGAGTGAAAAGGACTACGGACAAGTCCTTCCAAAGGCCACTCGGCTTTCTTGCGGGAAGGGCTTCCGGCACGCCTGGGCCGTCACCACCTGCCGGGCGGCGCCTGCTCGCCTGCGCCCCTTCTCCTTCCTGCCGGACTCAGGCTCGGAGGGAGAAGCGCCCTCATCCGCTCCCGTGCTCAGCTGGCCTGGCGGCCTGGGTCCTTCTCACAGGTGCTCTGCCAGAATTAAAGGGCCGTTGGTGGAAATCACGTGACCCTGAACTCTAGAACACAGCCAACTGCCTCTAAGCCCCGGGATGGCAGAGGAGGAGGGGGGCTTGCAAGGAGACCCTCAAAATGTGAGTGGATCGTGCCATACTGGGGACCACACACCCCTAGCTGGGTGAGATCCTAGCGGCGGCTCTGCACCCCGTGCTCCCCACACCTGCTCCCCCGGAGAACTTAACAAACATCACCCCCCTCCGTCCCGCGGGGACGCTGCCTAGGGAGAGCAGCTGGGCTCCCCGGGAAGGCTGCCCTCATGCAGCAGCCTGGCTTCTCTCGTTAGGCCACAACTGCCTGAAAAGCAGCCAGATAAAACAACACGGGCCCGGGCACCAGAGAGGTTTGGGGCCCCTGAAAACCAACATGGCAAGGTAACATCCTGGCTGCCACTAACTAGTGACAAAAGTTCTTTGTAGTGGCAGGCACCCTGGATGACAGACGGATGATAAGAGATAAAATACCACTGCACTCTCCTAAGAAAGCGATCTTGTGTTTCTTATGATTTAACCCTTGGTAGGGATGAATGTACTCTATAGGAACAAGGCCTTAAGAAACCAGAAGGGGACATGAGAAGGACCCCCCTCAAACGTATATGAAGGTCTCCTACAAAGTTGGTTTCTCATTGTTTATTTGGTAAAACTCCACTCGTTTCTGAAACTAGCATTAAGCCCTACGTGTGAGTAGCTCCTGGTGCCAGAGCAAAGGGCCGGAGAAGGGCAGGCATGTGGCTGCCACGCCGCGCAGGCAGAGCCCAGCGCACAAGAACCCAGTGGCGAGCAGGGAGAGGAAAGCAAACCAGCCATCGCGAGAGAGGGGAGACGAGAAAGCCAGATGGACCAGACCCTGCTACAGTTTCACGTGTCCACCGGCAAGCCAATCCCAGAGTCCTTACCATTGAAAAAGTCTGCATGAACTGCCTTTTCATTGGCCGCCAAGTCCATCAGGAGCCCGGTGCTGCCTCCTGCCTGGGGAGGGAAAGGAAAGCTCATGGCAGCGGGGTTTTCCGAGAGAACGAGTGGTATAAGTGCCACGCAGGCTCCACACCACTCCTGGGCAGAAAGTGTCCAGGTTGGAGACAAAATTTAGTCCACGGGAAGGGAGGGAGTGCGAGCAGGGCTGGGGAGACGGCATTCCAAGGAATTACGGCGAGGGTCTCCTCGGGTCGGACGTCCTCGACTCCTCTCGCCTTTTCCCTAGAGTCCTGCCGCTGCCCCAAACAGCAGCACTGCTGCGCACACCTAGACAAGAGACCCCAAGCGCGCGCAAAACTGAGCCTGACCACTGCTCCGCTCTGGACTGCTTCTGAGAGTTAAACCATTTCCCCTGAGAAACTGACCTGCTGACCTGGGGTTCTGGGGAGTGGGGCGGGGCCATCACGGGCCTTCCCACTGCCACCACTCAACGGTGGCAGTAAAACAACGCCACAACCAAAGCTAGGCAACGTGGCGAGGATTCTGAGCCTCTTTTAGAGTCACATGGTGACAGCTAGAGCACAGACCTCTGGTGGCAGCACCCTGGACAGCTGGCCCACAGCCCCTGCTGCCACCCTGACTCCCGACTGCCCCCAGGCTGTCTGCCCTGCCTCTTGCTGGCTCAAAGGGCGGAGCACCTCCCGTCCTCCCTTAGCAGCGGGGACTCTCAGAGCCTTCCTTCCTTCCTCGGGAGCCCTCCCCTGCCCCGCCCCCACAGGAAGCTCTGCAGATTCTACCTGTGACACAGCTGCGGAGTTTGCGCCTACCTCCCTCTGGAGGCACTGCCTTCATTCAGACCCTCCTCGTGCCCCCTGTCCCCCTGTTTGTACTGCCCCACTCTCTCACCCCAAACCCTCCAGAGCGACGGCGCAACGAACCAGTCAGAGCCGTCACTCCGCACCTTAAAGCCCTCCAGCGACTCCACGCTTGCCTAAGGTAGTGCCTGGAGCACAGGGCTGAGAAGCAGGGGGTGAGTGCAGGTGCCTCGGGACTGGGGTGCAGAGGGCCCACCTGTCCCAGGACGGCTACAGAAGATGCGCCACCTTGCCCCCCAACCCCGACTGCCCGGCTCCATCCCATTCCCGCTCTCCCAGGCACGACCTGCCCTCCCCTAGACCCTGCAGGCCTCGCTCCCGATCCCGCCAGGCCTCGCCCCTACGCCCCAGCGCACCGCCAGCATCTGGCTGCAGCCAGCTGCTCTCCTAAGCCTTTGCTGGGCCACCCCAAAGCCCGGGGGCTTCTATCAACCCGCACCGCCTTTTGATGCACTAAGAATTGGCACCCAGTGTCTCTCTGTGCTCCCGGGACGCCCAGGAGCACACAGGATGAGTCTGTCCCCCCTGAGGTTTGACAAGGAGAAATCGAGTTCCGGACCCCGTGGAGCCGGCCTGACACTCCGAGCACACACCACCAACACCAGACAGGAACGCCCTGTGCCCAGAGGACGGGGTGACACAACGACCCTGCGCAACTGCCCCGCGCGGAGCACAGACCTGCCAGGCACCCCTCTCCCCCGCTCCGCGGGCTGGCGGCCGCTTCTTTCCCAAGGGCCGTTGGTCAGCCGAGCTCTCGTCTCCCCTCCTCCCAGACGGGGACTCGCCCCCGCCGCGCCACAGCACGCCATCCCGGCCGGGGCCTACCTCCTCCCCAGCACCTGGCAGGAGCTCAACCCCGTCCCCGGGGTCCCCACCAATCGCCCCTGCGGGGTTCCAGGCCGCGGGCACCGACGCTCACCGCAACCCCGGCCCGTAGCCATCCCGGCCGCCACCTCACTGGGTTCCCGGAGGCCCCATTCTCTCGCCCGAGGTAGGAACCGCCGGGACTGCGAGCGCGCCCGCGCAGGCCGCCGCCTCCTCTCGCCCCAGACCCGGCCCGCGCCCGACAGCTGGCCTTGGCTCCGCTCC